TAAGACTTCATATGTAATAAGATACATATGTAAAAGAAGCAAAAGTATACGCAAAGTTTCATTCACTTTGTATATGAAAAATAGATTTAAACTAGATCCTTTCATCGAAATTTTTCACGAGATTTGTATACGCTCATTTATCTCATTCTTATAATATAAGTGATTGGCCGTTTTCTGCGATCAACGGGATTTTAGTCTAACAACGCGACTACCCACACCACGCTCTCCTTTCTCCTTGCGATATATCGTTAATATAACAACTATTCATTTATTCATAAATTCTGAACGATCAAATTCAATTATAACGTGATCTCCACTACGGTTCATTTCCCATTGATTAATCGTTTTTCTTTCATCATTTCATAGGAATTAATGTATCTAATTAAGCTCTCAAGCTGATTTATATTATAAGAAATTTCATAAGTGAGAAAGAAAATATAAGTAACGAATTAAAATAAAATCTAAAGATAGTACAGAGAAATATTTCAGGAAATGAACGGTAGTACTCATAACGTTAATTGATGGCAACTCGTATCCACCTAAGGATATCGCGCAATAATTCTATATATCCACGATCCCGTCATTGCGTATTTCCATGGAATCGCACGAGCGGCAGACTCGTTTTTTATTTTGTTTCGCGCACACACACACATCATCTATTCTCTTTTAATCCACTATCCTTCACCGTTTATTTTTTCTTTTCCTTTCTGCAGTTTGATTTCCCTTTTTTCCTCCACAACTAGTGGTGGCCGATAGATCGGAAGTCAACATGACGATGATCAATTACGTTAAATATCGTTTTCTATCGGATCTGCGTGCAATTACGAATGCAATTTCTATGTTGAGCAACCAGCACTGACTGGTTGTATAAACTCTTTGCGACGATATATATATATGTATATATATATATATATATATATATACATATGTATATATATATATATGTATATATATGTATATTTATATATAGAACCATTGCCCATTCCAGGCAAGTTTTGGTGTTTTCAGTTGACGACGAGTGACGGTGATAGTGACGGTGGCGATGACGATGACGATGATGACGATGACGATGACGATNCATAGACTCTGACAAGTTCCTTTAGTTCGCTTAATGACTTGAAAACGAGTTACGATTATAATTCCAATGTTCAAGTTAAGTTAAAGCCTTTTTCACTTCATTAAAGGAGAGTCTAAATTTGGATTGGGGTTAGGCTGTTGTGAGGTCGATGGTGATGGTACCTGTGCCACCACCGAGCCCCTCCCCTCGGGCAAGACATTTCCTCCGCCACCGCTGTTCATGCCGACGTTACTCCCAGCGCCTCTTTCTCTCATTCTTTCACAATAATCTGCGAATATATCACGAAAACGCTCCCAGGATTTCTCTGGTACGGTGATTGCTGTTCTAAAGTGTGTTTTTACCTGTAAAAACATATTTTTTTTTATCATGTTTTTCTTCTTATTCTTTTTTTTTAACAGTTAATTTCTTTTCTTTCAAATTAAGACGTATAGTATTACATTTGATCGTGATTTTTTGAATCGGTATTCTATATTGATATATTTGCAGATTTTATATTATTAAACAATAAAAACAATAAAAAAAATGTAGTAAAAACATTAATGTTAATTCATGTATATTCATATAATATATAATACATATACATAATATATATACATTCATATAGTTTCCAAGTTCTAATTATATTTATGCTCTAATAATATTCTGTGTTAATAATCTTAATGACTTTTTTATTATCATCATATTCTTATACATTATTATCATAATATTATAATTTAATTTCTAATATTATCATAATCTAAAATCATATATTATATTATATTAAGCAACATATAATATTAAGATTATATATCTTATATTAAGATTTAAATCATGTTATTACATATATTAAGATTTAAATTATCCATCTCTTCTAAGTAAATTTTGTAATTATTTCGATAATCATCTTGATATCAATAATAATTGAATAATTAAATATTTATAACAGATATATATTTATAATATAACATTAATATTTATACATTTACAATCTTAATTTGATGTAATTAATTACAAAAATAAATTGATCAAATATTATATATTATATGAATGTTTTATGAACTCTTCTCTCCTCCCAATCCACCCTTAGAGTAATGTATTTAGCTCATGTCAAGAGACACACCCTGTATTTTTAGCTAGCGATACGTACGTACCTCAGAAATTCTCATGTAGATACCACGGTTATTCTGGCCGATATCAAAATAGAAATTCTTGCTATCCACGCGCATGTATCGTCCCTCTGGTAAGTCACCCTTGAAACCACCATCGTCCGTACCGTATTCTTCGAGGAGGTCTGTCAACGCGTCACGGAACTCGATCATACCCTGTGCTGGTATCGCGATCTGCGTCCTGGGTCCTCCTCGTGTTATCGTCTGCGACACCTGTGCAACAAATAATATTATTTTAACAAATATTTTATAATAGATTCTTTTTTTTTTTTTTTTTAAATTGAAGCATGTGCAGATAAAAGCGGCTTATTCGATTAAACCACATTTTTCTTGAAAATATCTCCCCAGCCGAGTTTCTTTCTCTAAATGTTTTTACCATCTGAAAAGGTTGACCTTTTCACTTCAAGACGGTATCCACAAAGGATAGACTCTCTCTCTTTCTCTTCCTTATCAGTTAGCGTAGAAAGTAAATGCATTGGCTGGTACATACAGGGTGACTCACCCGCAGGAAACGGCCGCGAGTATTTTCCTTGAGGTCCAAGTAATACCGCCTGTTATCCTTTGTCATCACTTCTGATTTTAGTTTCCCATCATCTGGCACATTTTCCGAGTTTGGTGGACCTATAAATTCAAAAGTTTAAAAGGGGGAAAAATTATAAATATTTTTCTGATATCTATTCGAAGTTTTTTTTTTTTTTTTAGAAGAATTATAAATCTTTTAAATATGCAGAAATAATGAATAAGAATGAAAAGGAGAAAAAAAAAGAATTAAAAAAAAAAAAACTATTATTACAAAAATCTTCATTAAAAAGAATGTTTCGATTAATACTATATTATATTAGTATATTATATTTTTCTATAAACAAGAATTTATCTTTTTTTTATGTATAAATGTTAAAATAAAAATTATAATTCGAATCGAAATTTTTTTCAATTGAAACCAGTAAAAATTTCAATTGAATTGATGCAAAAATAAAAAGAGACTTTTCTTCAAGGCATTATATGGAATCTTATAGCAATAGTTGAAGATTGCATTTTACCTAAAGATGCATAAAAATCACTAAACGTCGAAAGGTAATTCCGAAACTCGGATGCTGTGCTGAGTGCCAGGTAGATTTGGCTTCTCCTTCCATCGGCGCCGATCTAAAAAATAAAAATATTTTACTTTTCTTTTCTTCTTTTTTACTTTTTATTTCTTTTTTAAATTAAAAAAAAAAAAAAAAAAAAAAAAAAAAACAACTTTATTTCAAATTATATTTAAATCTCTTAGTGTTATTGAAGCTATATAACTAGATCTAGAAAAATTTGAATTAAGTTATTTTATTTTTTAATCCTTCCACATAGATATAATCTTAAATATTATTGTACATAAATTAAAATTTATTATTTGTAGAAAATTGAAAATATTTATATATCTAATGTAATTTATATTAATCATTTTCTAAATCGTTCATTTATAATTCTTCGGCATTGTAGAATTTATATTTTGTTGTATCAATTACAACGCTAACAGTTCAAAAATCTGAAATCTGAAAAAACAAGTCGACCAAGACTCCTACAAAAAATAAGTTTAGAAATACCTCGGCTACTTTGATAAACCTCCCACGTCTGTTCTGTTTTACATCAAGATAGAATCTTTTACTCTGGATCTGCAACATCTTCGTTGCCAACTCCTGTTCGCCTTGCTGACCTTGCTGGCCTGAAATCATTATACAAAGCTAATTAACATCATTTCTTATATTCAATAATTTACAATTACTGTTTTATAAAACTGTCTCGTTTCATCACGTTTATATCTATTAAAGGTAATATTAGAAGTAATATTTTGTAACTGCAAATTCCTTGATGAAAAGAATAAATATATTGAGAGATATTTTATATTGAACTTAAATGAAATAAAATTTTTAAAATTTTTTATCTTTAAATTAAAATTTTAATTAAAATTATTAAATTTTGTTATAGATCAATATAGTATTTCCATATCTATGCTATATAATATTCCAAATTAATTTTTCTGTAAACAAAGATTATTTTATTCTATTTTTTATCTTTTTATTTTTTTTTTAATATATAAGATCATTCTTATCTCGATTGTATCAGTTTGATTGTATCAGTTACAAGATATTCTATGTTTATTCTAGTCCATCTGTTATAAAAAATGTTATAAAAAATACTATTTCTCATCAAAGAAAAATAAAAAAGAAAGAATTCCTCTAAACAAAAAAAAACAACAATAGGCAGATTTTCATTCGATTTATCTCTCTCCATCAATGTCTCCATAGGATTTTCCTCCTGATTCGACCGACTGACTCTTGAATCGTTTAAAATCATCCCCTATTCAATGAGACTCTATTCAGGTAATGTTGGATGATCAACATCCGTTGAATCTCATAGAAAATCAAGAAACAAATCCTGCAAAATACGTTTACATTTACTTAACTAAATTTTTTGTAGTTAGTCATTTATAATCAGATAATAGTTATAAAAAATATATAAATTCTATATTTTATATTTTATAAAGATATATAGATTAAACATAAATCATATTGAATTCCATCTTCTTAATCTTTAAATTTTATCCCTTTTGAGACAAATTTTTTTAATTTTATCGAGTATAATGGTTAAATATAATTTTTAAACTTTTAAAATATATATATATATATATATANTCTATAAAATAATATCTCTCTCTTTTATTTTTATATTTATATATATAATAAATATTAATTACAATTAATTCATCTGTATCAATTATATATTTTTTAATATTTCATTTTATACCAATTATATATTTTTTAATATTTAATTCTTGCTTCATTTTCGTTTAAAAAAATAGATGTTTTATAATATTTAAAGGAAAATTTTATCCATAAAATTAAAATAAATCAAAATTTGCTCAAATCTTTCGCATTAATTCACAAAGACAAAACTTTGTTTCAAAAGATTTTAATTCAATTTTCTTATATCGAATCGTAATAATACTTTACAGAATACTTATAATACTCTACATTCATACTATTCAACTATTTTATTTTTATCAACAATGACTAACCGAGTGTTGAAAAATTTCCTGTTACTCGAAAGAAGATATCCAATCGTTCCAACGATTGCCATGGTTGCTTTATAGTTATCGCTGGATAAAAAAGAAGAGAAGGGAAGGAGAAGTAGGAGAAGAAGAACAGAGGGGAGAAAAGGGTTGCACGCAGGTCAGAGGGACAAGGGTAAAGAGTGGAAGTCCGGAAAGAGGTCACCCAGTGTTTATTGGGTCAGCTCTTTACCGGATTCCCTCGAGCTACGGGGAGAATTTCTGGGTCGGAGGGGTACCGGAAATTTGACGATCATTCGAGGACAAGGTGAATCTAACGAATCTGCGTTGTTTCCTATTTAACTTCGCGTTGGATAAAGGCGGAATTTTGCAGGGACCAAAAAGGATCAGGATCCAGTAGAAGCGAGAGAATTAGATGAAACGATGGAGCTATGGTTGTTAGTCCTCGTCCTCGTCGATCAATAACAGCTGCACCAAACAGGTCGTTGACCTGTTTGGTGCTCCTCTCGGGCCACCGAATACACCTCTACATAGTTTTTTCACCTTATCAGTCCCCTGTCTTAACCTTTCTTAAAAAAAAAAAAAAAAAA